GGGGATTTAGAAATAAGTAATCAAGTGGCCAATTATGTTGGCGCAGAGGCGTCAGCGATGAATAAATTATGTGATCAAATCAGGGTTGCGGAGGAGACAAGGTTGTTGCCATTTTCAACTCGTGATTTGATCACATAATTTATTCATCGCTGACTCCTCTGCGCCAAAAACCTAAAAAAAAAAATGACAGCTGTTAAGGGCCTTTAATTATCTATATATTTGTTTATATAGTTGTTGTTATATGAATAAAATTAGTCCATTTTATTAACGGACTTGAGTGTTAATTATTGATTAGTTCTATTAATAAATGCCAAAATATTAATAATGTGTGCATATATATATTTATAATTATATTTATGTATATGTGAAATTGATATTTCTGTTATTTGCATGTATAAGTGATAATAATGTTATTGTAATTCTATTAAATAAAGTCAAGCATGCAAAAACATAAAAACGCTTTCGTTTTTTTTTTGCAAATGTTTAATTCAACATTTACCCTTTCGGAATGAATTTCTTTTTTCATTCGCCATCAAACAGAAAACTTAAATTAAACCAACCAAGAAAAAAAAAATTAAGTTGCTCTAACTACAAAAATGTCTTGATGTATTTTGCACAAAATGGATGGACCATCAGTGTATTTAAATTTCCTCCGAACGGCTGAAGGACAATTATGAGCAGCATATTGGTCTTATCAGGGTTTAAACACATGACTCTTGGTGCAATGACACTGCTTATCACTCGGCTACTACAGCAGCAATCAACTGTTGTTTTACCTAACGGGGACAAAGAAATTCTTTCTTCGAGGAAGATATAGATCGAGATCATTGCTATTGAGATGTTTTTAAAGGGAGTTGAAATGTTGTAAAGTTAGGTCTACAGGACGAGGATGTGGCATCAGAATTGCCAACCCAATTTCGATAACTATCAATTTCTTCTTTCCATTTTTGAAAGTGGATCACAATAAATACTTGGATTAAAGTTGCATTAAAGTTTCGGGGTTCCAATTTTAATTTAGCGAATATCTAAATATGTGTGAAACCTTTTTTTTTTTGTAATGAACTTCAGTTCTCGCCGTGGATTCTCGTTAATGTCTTCTACTGACTGAGAAAACGAGTGCCACAATTATCCATTATCGTTTTTCATGCCATTTTTTTCCCATTGACTTGCAGAATTTGCATCTGCAGGCGTCATTCCTAAAATACATTAAGTGGAAAGCCGACAGGAATATTTTTTACAAGACCAGCATTGTTATCACAACGGGCCGATAGGCCTAAGTGTGTTCGATCAAGGCTGCACTTTCGATAGATTTCCAGTTCTCAAGTATTGGAAAATTTAAGCGCTTACACGGCTTTGCATTGAAATGCACAGGTAGATATACAAAATCCAGTCATCTCCTCATCTTCATGAAATTGATTTATCTGATTGCCGGTCAAACTCTCCTAGTTCTGATATTAAACTCTCTAGCAACTTACTAAAGTTGTGATATAACAACCATACAACCGATAAAGTGCCTTAACAGGGATCGAAGATACCATAAACTTTAAGCGATTTTCAAAAGTTTAAACTTTCCACATATTAATAAGAAAAGATACAGATTGTTTTATTTTTTTTTAATAGGGAAGAGGGTACGCGAAACACGTTTAAAGTCAGATCGCCATAAAACCGACTGCGAAGAGAGCAGAAAGTTGCAATACCTTAAATTATTGTTATCATAATTATTCTATCCAACCACAGAAAACCTGAAAATCTTAAATATTTGTGAAAAAACTTTTCAAATTAAGTGAAATCAGGTCTCCGTCCACCAGACCCATTCAATGGAGGGGTGGCCTTCACCTGGAAAACTTTCATGCATTCGAATGGCATGACCTAGCCACTGTAGCCACTTTATATTCTTTCACTAAACGGTGTTAAAGTCACCGTATATCTCGTATTGCCCAACGTTGCTTCGAGTAGAGGACCATGAATCGATCGCCGAACTTTTCTCTCAAAAGCTCCCAACGCCATCTCAACAGATGTTGACATCGTGCATACTTCTGCACCGCATAGCAAGATGGATATGATGAGCGACTTGTAGAGTTTGGTTTTAGTTCATGGAGAGAAGACTTAACTTTTCAATCGCCTACTCAGTCCAGGGTAGCACCTGTTGGCAAGGTAGACGAAGTTGTCTGCAACTTCAAAGTTATGACTCTCAATGATTACATCCAAATACCGAGTTTAACTTTAATATATGCACATAATAACGAAGTATATTTCGAACTTGGCAGGCTTTTGTAAGCTTCTTTTGCTAGTTAAAGGATGTCGGCTTAAATGAAAGAAGCAAAGTGTAGCCGCCGTCTTTGAACGCGCTTCTGACTCTTTTTAAACGGTCAGATCGATTGTAATTTAAACTCTACTGATTTTTCAAGGTCCTCAGACTTTACAATTGTTACGATGGAAAATGCCACTGCCTTGATTTTATTCTTCAGGGATTAATATTTATGTTCTTTATCGCTTTTAAATAAATTCTGATACTATTTATAATATTGTGGAATCAACTGTACATAAGCACATTCGAATTGGATCCTCAAATTACGGTGAAACTCATCTGATTCAATATCTTTGCTTATTTATTGTAGAATACTTTCTCTTTAAGATAGTAAGAAAACATAAACTTTTTCCAATTTTCCAACTTCTGGAAGTCTTAATTTTCAACAAATATTTTTTAAATCGCTCACTTTTGCTTTTCCCATCCTCGCTTTAGACGCCTTTGGAGTGCTGACCAATTCCACATTCATTACAATCGATACGAAATATGATTTTGGCGGAAAGGGCATGCTCTCGCCCTCAGGGCAAAAGATTCGATTGTGCGGTGGCGCACACGAGCCGCAAAAAAACATTGAAACTTGTCAATGCGCCGAAGAAACTGCCATTAGCACAAAAGCACCATCGACAGAGAACCGATTTCTACAGCCGGAACAGCAAACTGAACCGAAATCGGAGCCAGAAAAGCTAATTAAAAGTTACGCACAGCCCAAAGCAAGCCACGGCCATATGGTGCTATGTAAAAACGAGCGTATCTATCGAATACTACAACACGGATGCTACGAAGAAAAGAAGAAAAAGGAAAGTACCCCAAAATATCGCATTGTCTATCCTGTCGGTGGGGGCGCAAAGGAGGAAAAGAAGCGAGTGCTAAAGAAAGTGAAGGAAAAAAGGAAAACGAAAGGAAAAGGGCAAGCAAGAAAACAATCAATAGAACCGTCGAGAGAAGGATCTAGAAAGCCATCGAGAGAACGTGCGCAAATAAAACGTGAACTGGAAAGTGAACCGGAACTGGAGCGGGTAACGCCACCGCCAATGACACCACCGCGCAGATGCGGTGAAAAAGCTGAAGGCACAACTGATGCGCCGAGCAACACCACTTCACAGCAGCACCAGCAGGCGCAGCCGACAGCACTAGATTTGCTAAGCTGGAATCCCTTGAAATACTTTGATATTAACTGTAATGGTGGACCGCAAGCGAAAGCGAATAAAGAGCCTTGTGCAGTAGATCCACCATGCACGCTGAGCTTATTTCCATTCCCTAGCTTGCGAAAGCCTGAAAAGCCCGCCGAGCCGATAGCAGCCATTACAACAAAGCCAACGAAACAAGCAGCATCAGCAAATATGCGAGAAGCGGAGTTTTCGCCCTGCCACGAAAACCAGGTTGACCCGCAACCACAAGCAGAACCGGTGCAACCAGTACCGGCAAATATTAATGAAGAAATAATTAGAGCACAGTGCAGTCGCATACTCAATCTGGAATTGCAGGTTAACGAGCTGCGACGCGAACTAGGGTGCATGAAGACAGAAATTATACCACCCGATGAGATGCTTCGCTGTACAGCGTTAACATCTAAACTACGTGAACTATCAACTTTGCTGGCCGATCTGAAGAGTCAACATATGGAAGCTATGACGTCTGTGCTCATGGCTCAACGACAAGCTACTGCCACATGCACCAAGTCTAAATGCATCGCAGATACACAGACGCCACAGCTACCACCGCCGACGCCGCCGCCACCGCGTCCGATAATGAAAGCGGAAAAAGTGCAAGCCAATCTACTAGCTGACCACGCACATAAAATCTCACAAACAAACGCCAGTTTCGGTTGGCGACCCTTCATCGATGAGGCCACACAAAGTTCACCACCCTCCACGGTGCCGGTGACACCTAAACACACTTCCAGTGTGCCGGCAAGCACACTTACCAGCTCGGCAGCGAGTGCTTGCCTGCCCTGTCGTCACGATACTGGTGAGATACCGTTGAAAGAGACACCCAGCTTCTGTCCCTACTGCCAAGACAGCGCATATCCACGCTGCCCCTACGTCGAACGGCATCTTGAAAAGGAGATTATGCGAATTGTGCAGTCTCACCCGCCATGCGAGGTGTTGTTGTCGGTGATGTTGCAACCGAATAGTCTATATCATATAAATATTTCGTTGACCTGCACCGGTGAGCCGTTAGGTTGTATTTACGCAACGGAACACGCCATCAATGAGGCTGTCGAGGCTGATGTCTTCGCGAGGTTTCTGACATTCTTCATAGTGGATGCCCGCATATCGGGACAGCAAAAGGACAAAATTCTAACTCACACTTTTGAGTTTTTCAAGAATTAGCTGGCAAATCCTTTTTCCAAGCCATTTTTTTCTTGCCCAATTGGCTTTCTAAAGTTAAACAACTTGGTGATAAGATTTAATTTTTTTCTATTAGCTTCTCTTTATTGAGCCACATATGGTATGTATTTACATTAGTTGCATCCTGACGTTAGATTACTAGAATGAAAATTCAGTTTAAGGCATATTTCAGGGAGATATTTTATATTAGAGAAAGCAAACAAAAAATTTTTGAACCAAAACAAAAAATATAATAAAATTAATTAAAAAATATTTTTAAAACCCTGAATTTTATAGTTTTTTTTATTTAAATACAATTATATTCCAAGGTTTATAGAGTATCATGATTCAATAACCAAAGGTTGGATAAGCAGTGGCAAGGGAGTTTTGACACTCTCTCACAAAGGGTTGCATTTTGGAAAGAAGTAGAAAAGGGCAGAAAATATGTTCCATTTAAAAAAAAAAAAACAGGGAAAAGGTAGCAAAAAAAGAGTTAAAAAGTAACAGCAATAGTAGGTAATTTACATGAGATTTACTATATTTCATTCATTTTAAGCACGAATTAAATACTTTTGAAATTAAAATAATATAGCTATATTTTCTAAATTATATGCAACAATAAAATGAAAGTCTATATTGTAAAAATTAATGAATATGCAAAATAATTAAATTGTAAATAATGGACGAGACGAGGACGAAAGTGAGTAGGGTCTTGTGACATTTACTACAGCGGTCATGTTAAGGAGCGCAAATTTGGTGTCGGATTCGTGGTGTGAGGGGGACTCCAGAATGCGAGAGTATGGAGAGCTTGAGAAGCTGACCGATGGGTTCAATATTTATTCTACAAAAAAATACGTCGACTTTCAACGACTAAAGCAAACTCTTGTAGGACCCATATGGCTGATCTAACGCCCAGAGTATACTAAATTTATGGAAGGAACACTTCTCCCGGAAATGGATGACGAAGTTGGTTCAGATTGTGGGTTACCAAAGTGTTTGAAATTCGTTTGTGAAATTTTATCTGACAGCAGCCCTCAAAATTCCTTAAGAAAATCATTATCCATCATCTTTTCTTCGTTTAAATTAGAAAGATTTTATTTTTCAGATATTTTATAAACTATGAAAGTACTAATTTCTTAAATTTATTTATAATTTCATACGAAAATTTGTAAGCCTAGCAACTCTAATATTTAAACTACAAGCGGGTTGCAACGCAATAAGATTGAATGCAACTCAACCTTGGAAGAATTGCAGTAGAGGACATACAAAAATATTACCCCTTACAGAAGTGCCGAAGGAGCTGGACTACACCACCAAAAGTGTATGCTTCCATTATCTTTTCTGCACAAGTATCTCCACAGATGCGAGTGGGAGAACACCAACATCCGCGACCAGGGAGCAATAGCCATCGTTTCAGACGGCTCGAAGTTCGATGGGAGGGTGCGTTGCCTTCAGTAAACATGAACATGAGGTTACTGGATCCTTGAAGCGTTTTCCAGGCGAAACTCTTCGCAATCATGGATGCCGCGGAATGGTTGCACAAATCTACGGCAGCAGGACAATCAGTAACAATCTCCTCCAATAGTCAGGGTGCAATCAGATCTCTTCTACTACGTCAAAAGTGGCCATAAACCGCAGAAACACTCTCAACAGACTCTCAACGAAATACAGTACTGCCGTGGTTTGGATTCCTAGACACAGCACCATCCCAAGCAATTGCATGTCAGACGAACTCGCAGGAGAAGGAACCCTTCTATCTTCGATACAACACGTACATGATGCTGGTTTACCTAGGTCCACGGCTAAATATATGCTTAAACCGGCCTTCACCAGAGAAACTGAATTACCATGGTTGAACGAGATCACGTGTAACGTGACCAGTCAGCTATGGCCGATCGACCGGTCCTCCATTAGCATAGCGACGGGTATAATAACTGGACACTGTTTAATGGGCTTCACGGGATTAAGATGGAAGAGGAGGAAAACATCGAGCACTACCTCTGCCACTGTGAAGCCTTGACATCCGCGCGACATAAGTTCCTTGGGAAACACTTCTTCGACTGTCTCGCTGAGTTGGCCTCAGTGAACATGGGAAATCTCGTTGCCTTTATAAGGCAAATGAAATGGTTCGATCATTGGAGAAGGTGAAAGCAGGAGCCTCAGCGGTATTACAATGTGTTTGGCCAGCAGCCGCATCAACTCAGCTCAACTCTACACTAATATTTGATTAAGAAAGATGATTGTGAAGAAGACATTCAATTTAAATTAGGTAGGGGTGCCCAAGAAACGAAAGTTTTAAATTTAGTTAATTCAATCTCAATTTACACTAAAACAAGGAGCATGCCCTTGAATTTATTTCGCAAATACGGAACTCGTATTTGCTAGGAAGGAACAGATATACCCGGTAATCGATGAAACTGGGTCATATTCAAAGTGCCCATATGAAACCGCATATCCTGCTAATGAGTTCGAATAAGAAATCCAGTTACTAGAGCAAGAAATGTAAAAAATTTAAGACCTAAAACCTCTCTTTTACCAGACAATTTTTCTTTGAATTGAAATTTTAGCGAATTCTGAGAGAAGGAAACACTTATTTAAAGAAGAGTAACTCTGAGCTAATTTAAGAAAATCGGAAGTACACGGTTTTCGTCTTGCTAATAAAATTTTAAGAGATCCTTAAGTACTAAATATATATATTTACCAGAGCTTTACCGGCTTACGTATATGTTGAGCCTGACGATACGCCCGATATAGAAGGCTCTCGATTGTCACTTAGTGGTGTGTATGAAATTCAGTCGGTTATTTTCAAATACTTAAAATTTGATTTAATCTAGGCGCTATATTTCGAAAACTCGTATTTCCAAGTCCTAACGAAGAACACATTTATAAAGAATTAAATGATTCGGAATACGACCGGCTTGAGCAATTAGCGGGTTAAATACATATGTGAAAAATTAATAGTAGAAGTGGTCGAGAGTTCTCACGTCTCTGAATATACATACATGGTTTAAGCGAGGCAGGGTTCGTAAAACCAACCCAAAAAACTATGGAACGTCCGAAATGGAAAACAATTTCAAAATGATAAATGTCAAACAAAATTGGATTTGTGAAAATTATTTCAAAAAACATTTGGAAAAATCAAGTCTTATAAAATCTATTTCGTAGCCTCTTCCCCTTCACTCAACTGGCAATGCAAAAAACATACACATGCAGGAATATTTCGTGAAATTTTCTAACTAGATTTTCAATGGCATGCATATAAATATACAAATCATATGTATACAGTGGTCGATACAAATATTGGATGAGTGCATAAGTTCGTGCCCGATTTCAAGTGCAAACTAAAATTATCAATTATGTATTCGCCATCATGTTCGGCAATCCACTCCCAACGTTCAACCAATTTACGGATGCCTGATTCATAGAAATCGCTCGGTTTCTCGTTGAAAAAGGTGTCAAGGTGGTTTTTGACGTCTTCCACATTTTTAAATTTTTTTCCATTCAAATTGTTCTCCAGCGATCGAAACAAATTATAATCAGAAGGTGCAATGTCGTGTGAATATGAGGGATGCGGCATGATTTCCCAATTCATCTCCTTCAGTTTGGCCAGGGTCGGTTTTGCAACATGTGGCCTGGCGTTGTCAAGGAAAAGAACTCCTTTGCGATTGGCCAAAATCGGACGTTTTTCATCAATTGCTTTCGTCAATTCGACCAATTGCTGACAATACTTGTTGGCAGAAGGCCGTCCACTGCGAGGTTGATCTTCGAGGTTAAAGTCTCCAGATCGAAATTTCGCGAACCATTTCTTTACTGTGCGGAGTGCTGGAGCACGGTCCAAATAAACTTCGCGAATATCTTTAGTTGCAGCGCCTACTTTTTTCCTTTGCGGAATTCGTATAACATAATATGACGCATATGATCTTTTTCGTTGTCCATCTTCCATGCTTCTTTTCACTAAGCAACTCAAATGAAGTTATTTTATGCTTGATTTACAGTTTGGACTGTCACCTTTCCAACGATATATAATATGTATATATAATATTTCTTTCACGAGAGCCATTCTCAAACGATTCGAACGGCATCCAGCGGAATCGGGCACGAACTTATGCACTCATCAATATATAGGCACAATCAAGAGAAATATCTCTTGCATAAAAATTTATTTTTATTTTAAAATTTTATATAATAATTTTTCCAATTAAAATACTGTATTTTTCAAATAATAATAGTTTCAGTACAAAAAGTTGCAAATTTTAGTGTAGCGAAATTTCTTGTATAACTTTTGATTTGAATATTCCAAGAATTTTTTCCAAATTAAATTCATTTTCCTTCCGAAAAAATGAAATGAATCTAAAACACTTTTACATAAAGATAACTAAATAAAAAATAATTAAAAAAAAAAACCAAAAAAAAAAAATAACTGCATTCTTTTTATGTTAACAAATTGTTAACATAATATCTTCACTATGTTGGGTAAATATACTAAACTCCTAAATATGTATGTATGTATATGGCTGTATACATATATATTTTTGTCACCAGAAATACCAAGAAAAACTTTGTATTTGTTTTTGGGACTCCTTTAGGATAGATACAACATTTTAGTTAGTCTCATCTTAGATACCTTTAGAAGAATCTACTATGTACATGTACATGTAGGTATGTATGCATATATATGGTTATATATATATGTATATATGCATAAAAGTGCAATAGATACATATTCTAGCGAACGATAGCCGAAAATGAAGGATTAAGAAAAATTATTATGTTTGAAGGAACTTTTTTCAGGAAAACTCTATGTAATATAGGGCACAAATTTAAGAAAGAAGGCTGAAGACAGCATAGTTCTGCTGAAGTCTCATAATTTTCATGAATATTTCAAATCTCGGTGCCACTCTTCTACTGCTGGTACTTATATACGACGGAAAATATTCTAACAAGATACATATGTATATGCGTACCTTTTCGAGACTTTCCTCGTTTGTTTTTGTGCCGCACACGAATACTCTAATGAATGTCGTTGACTTAAAGTGAGGTTATGTCGTACCAAATGCAGGTGCGCTGGTTGCTGAGTACGTCTACTGATAAACTCTGACTTAGCTTTGCTTGAAAAGTTGGATTAGCTGATGAAAGGTCTGATTTGCAAGACGAACATATATGAACATGAACTTGTATGTATAATTTCCTCATATAGCTTTAACTTTGTTT